GGCAATATGACTCAACCAAGATTAGTGTTTCTTGTTTTAAAACAGTCTGCTGAAGTAGCTGGTTTTTTAAGACCAGAGGTCAGCAAACTTTTTCTTAAAGGGCCAGATGATAAACATTTTATACTTTTTGTGGATCCTCGGGTCTGTGTTATTACTGCTCAAATCTGTTGTGTCCTGCAAAAATCTGCCACAGACAAAATGTAAATGAATGGACGTGGCTGTGTTCCAATAAAATTATATTTACAAAAACAGGTGGCAGGCCACATTTGGCCAGCTTACAGACCCCTGCTTTAGATACTTAAGTCATATGTGAAAGGAGACTTTGGATTCCATTTAGTTTTTAAGCATGAAATATGGCATTATACATTATAATAAACAGTAACTTTGCTTCCTGATGATTATGTTTAACATGTTACTCTCAGTTATGGTCATGCTTTAGAATATCAAAGGGATTTAGAAAATAAGCAATAGTAATAAATGCATTTTCCATCTGAAAGGGATATATAGAAGTCATTTAACGGTTGGCGAATTTTCTTGAAATTTGAAACCTAAGGTTGTGGGCAAGATGTTAAGGGCTTGTTTTACTAAATGTATACAAGCATAGACTATATTTTTTTTCCTTCTGTACAGGACAGGTTTGTGAGTCAAATAAAAAGCTATTTGTAATTATGCTTGTCATTACACTAAGGGTTTTTTGTTCTAGGAATGTTGTTTGCATGGGTTTGGATTTTTTTATGGCTTTTCAGTTTGATAATGTGTTCCTGTTTTTAAATTGAATTTGTCAGTGAGCTGTTTTGTGCATGGCTGTGCTTGTTAGTATTTATAGTTAGGTCTGTTTCTGAGGAAATGACTAAAGTCTCTTGCATTCGATCAAAATTGTATAACAAAGCACATCTTTGACTTACTTAAACAAGGTCTATGATGAAAACTCAAAAAATATAATGGTTCGTGTTTAGAAATGTTTTTATGTATTCAGTCCTGGTTGGGCCAAAGAATTGGAGCTCTGTGCTGAGGGAGGTATTGAATATACTCAATGCCTCTTAGTTAACGTGTTTCCTTGGGGCAAGTTCAGGCAATGCTTACTTTCTCATAATGCAACTCCTCCGTTTTTGGTTTTTTGTTTTTTTTTTTGCATTTTACATGTTGTTTTGAATTGGGCCTTAGAGAACATGTATTTCTTCTCTTTAAACCGTTCTACTAATTTTCTCTTTTCGCATTCCTGCCTGAAAGCCCTGACATTAGACGAAGCATGTAAACCTTAACCTTGGCCATGTAATTTTCAGCAGAGGCTGTTGGGGATTGGATTGGGGCAGGGCCTGGGGGGTGAGTGAGTGGCAGAAAGCCACTGTGTCTTGTTCGCTGCTGGGGCACCCTGCCTCCCCATCTCTGGAATATCCACGGGCTCTCCCCACCCTGATCTCGCCCCCTTGCTGTTGGTTCAGGTCCTTATGGAAGTGTAGTGTCTTTCCTTCTGCTCATTGTTTCAGGACAGGAGATGAAGGGGCTGAGTAGGGAGGAAGAGGAGGCCCAGCTCTGACCTGGGCTGACCTGTGCCCTAGCTCCGTGGCTGGTCATATCTTCCCATGGAGGCCCTGTGACAGGTGCTGGTTGGATTTTGGTGTATTATGAACTCACTGGGATTTTCTACAGTAGCTTTTAACCTCATTATTTTTTGATTACATTGATTATTTCAACCCTTTCATAAGCAGCTCAAAGAACCACTCCTCCAACTTGGTTCAAAGTATGAAATAGAAAAAGGTGAAATTGCGCTGTCCACTCGCTGCCACACATCTCACTCCTGCCTCTGTTCTCGGAAGCACTTATAGGGTGGGGTTCCTAGGAGCTCACTTTGAGAACTGCTGATTAATGTAACTGTTTACTTTTGGAGCACATGCCTGTCTTAAAATCAGCTTGCTTGTGTATGTATCATTAATTATTTAAAATTTGCCAGGACCGATGTCTATGTATGGGCCATATATGAAGCCAGCTTTAGGAGAAGGTAGAATGGACACATGATTACCTGGGATGATTTGATGGGCTGTTGAGAAATTCCATGAAGGCAGTCTGCACCCCCATCCATGCCTGAAATTCCATTGTCAGTGATGCATTTTATTTTGATGTTGAGCATCTGCCTTTTCTGAAGCACTTTCTTAAAAAAAAAAATTCAAATATCCTCAGGAAGGATACGCATTAAGCTGTTGCGGCCTTGGAGCTGATGCTGTTGCTTCCCTGCTTGATTAAGCATCTGGGGTTACTGAATCCTCAAAAGGGCAGAGAGAGAAGGAAACAGCCACGTTCTTACATCGTGATTTTTGTCTAAGACTGGACCGGACTATATATGCATTTGAAAAACGTGTGGCAGCATCTCTTATATTTATCTTGGAGACACCTTGTTTTCTCCTTTGGATATAGGTAGTTATGAGGTATTTGAAGAAGGAGCATCTCAAAAGGAACTTTTACTGTTCTTAAATAGTCTTTTACTACCAAAATATTAATATATGTTATTACTATATCATGATGTAGATATATGTGTCCATATATAATGGAATATTTTTAAAATATGAGTTATTTAAAAGAGATAAGGGAATCAGAAACACGAGTGTGAAGTATAGTGCACGTTGATGCATATTGTCCACACACTGTTCTTTTTTGACAAATAATAAATTACAAACATTTCATTTTTTTCACCTTAACAACTAAATATTGTAAAACTATGGTCCATTCATTTACTCAACGTTCATTCATAGAGTACCTACCATGTGCTACGTACTTTGTGCTGTAAAAACTAACGGTGATGGTTTCAGCAGACGATGTGTCTTAAAGGAATATTTGAGGTTGTCCAGTAACTGAGGAAGGAAGAGAGGGAGGGAGGTAATGCCGGATGGGGAGAGGAAGAAAGAGGAAGAATAGATGGAAGGAAGTCCTTAATTCATATTTTCTGGTTTTAATGACCCCCATATTATCTAGTTTGATGTTCCTTGTTTATATGATAATTTACTGTTGATAGCTTTTATTTTTTTTCTCTGTGTGCTATCATTTGAAATTAGTTCTAATTTGTCATTTATATATTTGTTTCTTTTCAGTATAAAAGAACTTATGTGGATCAGTTTGCTTAGTATAGTCAAGATTTGAAGAGCTAAAAAAATCGGTATTAAACCTGTTTTTTGAAAACGTAAGTAAACTCACCCCTCACCATTGTTTATTTCTGACATCTTTAAAACCTTTCTCTCTCAGTGCGTGAATGTTTTTCTAGTCGTCTGTTCATTAAGTCTAAGAGAGTTTCTACCTTCTCTCTTGCCTTTAAAAACTTTTTAATTATAACAGTGATGTGACTAGCCTAGGTGGTTGTAGGATTTAGACGTGGTGTGGCACATCTTTTATTCGGCCCCACAAAGGGAAACACAGAGCTGGTAGCGCAATCCTACCAGGCACAATCCTCTCAAGTCCTTCATTGCTCTTCCTCACAGGCCATTTCTGCGCCTCATCTATGCCAGTGAGAATTGTTGGTCAACCCGTTAATGACTCAGTAGGCTTAGGAAATGAGGTAGTGGTTTTTACAAGCCCGTGTACTCCCTTTCTCCCTATCCCTCTTGCTTGGTAATAACTACTATTTATCGGGCTTCTACCAAGTGACAAGCATTTGATTAATTCAATTCAGTGTTCATTCTGCAGACACTTTTTCTGAGTACCAGATGCTGCTCTGACGCTATGACCTTATCCTCATGGCACCCTTGCAGAGTAGGAGTTAATAGTTCAGTGATCTATTAACAGATGAGGATCTCGAAGGTCAGGGAGAGGGAAGGAGCATGCCAGAGGTCACATAGCCAATCAGCGTGAGCACGGCACTGTCTGTCTTTTTCTGATTTGCCATATCCGAAATAGTATTTAGATGCTCTTCTTGGCGTGGATGTCAATAGGAGACTGGAGCCTTCTGGGTTATGTTCTTAAGAGGAATGTGATCCTAATCCTTGGAAACCTCAGCTATAGTCACAGCAAAGAAGGAGGTTAGAGAAGCATTCTCCCATGTTCGAGAGGTAGCTTTGGTACCTGTGTGGGGAGTTAAGAGATCTGATGGCCAGTATCAGCCCTTCTGTGGATTTCCTCTGTGTCGTTGAGATATTTAAGCTCCATGGGACACAGTTACTCCTCTGCCAACTAAGGGGCACAGACCAGACCAGATGATCTCAGGGGTCTCTCTGAGTTGGCTCTTTATTGAAATATCTTACACATAGAGGAAAGTGCACACACATTGTAAGCGGATGGCTTGATGGCGTCATTGTCACAAAGTAGACACACCTCTGTAACCGGTGCCTCAATTAATAGAAAATTACCAGCACCCCAGAGTCTTCCTTCCCTCATGCTCCCAGGAGTAACCAATATGCTGACTTTGTTTAGTTTTGCCTGTTTTTTAAAATTCATGAATAGAATCCTACAGTATATGCTCTTTTGCATCTGGATTGTTTTGCTTGTTATGTTTGTGAAATCCATCTGATACTGCCTGTAGTCATTTATTTTTTTCATTCTCCTTCCTCTAATGGTATTCAGTTATGTATCTATTTTATAGTTGCCAGACGTTTAGATAGTTTCC